AGAGAGCAAGTTAAAAACATGTATAACTGCTATTTAAAGGGAAAGAATTCAATCTCTCCCCTCAAAGAGATGGAGATACCAGAAAGAACAGTTTTCAAGAGCTTAATTTATTAAAAAAGGGATTTCTGCTCATGGAAAACTACGATGAGAAGGTCTTCCTTAGCTTAACATTGCAAGCTGAGGGGCAAAACCTCTATTCTCATTTACTGCCCACATTTTACATAACTCCAGAGTTAAAAGGGTGAGCCTACATTGTCTTTCTTGATTTTTTTTATAGCAAGACTGTGGGAAATTCATAAGCAAAAATATTTTCTCTCTTGAAGAGAGACAAAGGATCAATTAAAAGAACTCACTTCGTATACTGCATTTCACTGGAATCTAAGTATTCTGTGAATGTTGCACAGTATTCTGTGAAGAAATGTAAAAGGACAGTGCTTAGAAGTTTTTCTTTTCATGTTCCAAGTTAAAGCAAGGCTTTTGCAATCCTTGAAATAATCATGTTGCCATCAGGGACTTAGTTAAGCACTTAAGATGACATAACAATAAATTTTAGTTTTATTTTACTTACCATCTTCTGCAAACTCAGCACTGGAGAAGCAAGGCTACTTTCTAAGCTTGTTCAAATGAAATTTGAATTATTAAATGAACATTTGAAAGCAAAAATGTTGTACTCTCCAAAATCACTGAAAATAAACCTGAACCTAGAATTTATACCAACTATATCTATTCCCATCAAAGCTTGGGACAAAAAAAAAAGAGAAAAAGAAAAGCAAGAAGAACATTCAGTCAAATTTTTCAAAGCATTTCATTTGCACAGGGAAAAAAGAGCGTAGCAGCAAGACAAATTTGTTCTTCCTGGTGACACAACTTGTAAGAGTCTGGCTGTGTCCTCTCTTGGCAAGCACAACTTTGCTGATTTGTTTTTCAGAGGTCTTGTCAAGAACCAGCTCTTTAAATGCATCAGGTTTAATAAAAGTATCAGTCGGAAGAGGAAGAGACCAGAGCATGATATGTAACTTTGTTACTCAAGTTAGCAACTTCTTCCTTTAAAATGAGTCAGAAATCAGGTCTGATTCAGCAGGAGCAAGTGATGGGGCATCATATTTAAAGTTTTAAGGCCATAGTATGTTTGTTTCTACATAGAAGCTCTGTAAATTGTCTTTTTCTCTTGAATAATGTGGTCTAGCTATAGCCTGAAAGTTCATTTTGTGGTTATCAGCCAATGTTCCAAGGCAATCCCCTTTTGAGTATTTTCTCCATCTAATGCACTCCTATTGATGGGTTTCATTCTGTGGAGGGTCACTAAGAAACACACAGTGCCCATTTTGTGGCATTTAGACAGATATAAAGATTACATTAATCTAATTTTCCAAGCATATGTTGCCTCTACAAAAACAAAAGCAACAACCAAAAAAAAAAAAAAAAAAAAAAAAAAAAAAAAAAAAAAAACCAAAAAAAAAACCAACCAAACAGGAACAGGAAACCTCAAAGGGGAATATGAGTCTTTTGGAAAATAGCAGGAAAATCTCATAAATATCAGTATCACTCTTTGATACTGATCTACACAGTGGCAGAAAAACATTGTATTTTGTCATGATTAGCAATATGTTCTCATTTCTGAAATGGTCTTACTTTCCTCAAAAAGATCTAAAGCTCTGTGCTTAAAATAGCTGAAAAACAGCTGTTGGATTTTTCACAGCAATGGGTTTTATCTTCATGCTACATAGAATGCAAACCAGTCATTTGACTAATATATAGTTGCAGAAAACATGCCTTCAGAATAGTCTCTCCTGCTAATGACAAACCAAAGAAATATTCCTTCTTACATGAGCTTTCATGTGCTTTTTTTTTTTTTTTTTTTTTTTTTTTTTAAATTTTAACACTTTCATAACTGTTGGCACAAGAGCAGCTTTACTCATCCACATCAAGTTTCCCACCTCTGGAACCATCCGACCAGTTGAGCCCTTGGCTCATTCTGCTTTTGCCTGTTTTATAGTCTTGTCACATTTTGAGTTTCTCTGGTGACTGGAGAGTGAACTAAAAATACAGTACCTTACCTGAAGAATACTTTTGCTTATTTGCACTTACCTCAGATTCCACCATCATTCAAGAAAAAGCTATTTCAGTTTAGCTCAGTCTTAGGAGTTGTTAGATTTCGATTATAACATTTTAAAATGCTTTATTTAAGCATTTAAGAAACTATTATCTCACAACATAATCCCTTGCTCCCTTGATTTTGAGGTGGCCCTTGGGTTTTGCCTAGAGGAGGAAGCCTGCATTGATTTCACCACAAACAAAGCCAGGGGATGCTTCATTCAGTGGCCATCCAAAGATTTATACTGAAGGCTGAAAAAACCCAAAGAGCCACAACCTGGCAAGAGCTGTCTCTATAAAAAGATTCCTCTCAAAAGGTCTTTTTTTTTTTCTTATTAATTTTAGCCTTGAATATGAGCTTCAGAAACTGGGGAATCTGGGGTATGGGGACAGGCAGAGAGAAAGGTCTTTTTTTTTTTTTTTTTTTCTTATTAATTTCAGCCTTGAATATGAGCTTCAGAAACTGGGGAATCTGGGGTATGGGGACAGGCAGAGAGAGAAGGGACTGGGGAGGAATTCCAGTTCAAAATAATTTCATAGCTATACTTCAAATAATACTTTCAAATAATCTGCTCCACGTCTAAAACTTTATTCTCACTATTGTGACTTTGGATTTCACAAGCCTGTTTAAAAATAACCCAACAAAACACGTTCTAAATAGGTAGAAGGGACTTGCCTCTCTGCTCTCTACCACATCCTATGAATGTGCTGCTGTATTCCAGAGATTTTCCAAAGGTGGCAGGGTGAGCATGTGTGAATAGGAGAGCTTTGTCCTCTGCAGCTATCATTGTGTTATCCCTACCGTCCACAAACGCAGAGGGCAGATGAGAACTGGATAGAAACAGACCATGCAGTTGTAAAACCCGGTTCTTTTCTCTCTTTATTTATTTATTTCTGCGACTGAGTAACACCTCTCATTACAATTACCGGCTCAATGGCAGAAAATCTCCCCGGTGTGCTGTGCAGATTTTCACAGCTTCATTTGTCTCCTCCTGTGGCATCAGTTTAAAAAGGTTCCTAAAGAATTGCCACTAACAACCGTTTCTATTTCGAGCCTTCAAAGCCGGAGCTGAGCACAATACAAGGCACTGGTAACTGATCTTTAGGTTTCAGTCCACAGACTTTCCACACTGGGAATAGATCCCATCTGTTTCCTCTTTATGCACCAGCCTTTAGAAAGCACAGATCTGGAAACTGCCTCCGTACAGAACCGAGTATAGTCGGCTTTCCCCAGCTGACGGCAGAAAAATCCCCATGATTATGGATAGCTTTCTCCCAAGGTTTTCTACTCTTTTCTCCCTGGTCTGTGAATACACGATGTCGTTTTCTCCATGTGCAGTGGTTTTTTGGAAGGGTGAAGGGACTGGACCGCCTCTCTTTCCTTGTCCCTTCTTCTTTCCCCTTCTTGGCAGAGGTTTCCCCATTTACCAGCCCTCACAGGGGAACATTTCAATTTCAAGCCCCAGCACAATCAACCACAGGCAAACCCCCCTCTTTCCTTTGGCACCAGAGCGTGAGACATTTCCCCCATCGCTCTCCCTCCCCAGCAAGCTGCTCTCCAGATGGATGCTCGTGGCTCTCCCTTGTCTCTTCCCTTCTCCTATCCCGGCCAGAGGCAAACAGAGGGTACCGAGCAGAGCATTCCTTGGGGCAGGAGCAGCCGCACAGAGCAGGACGCTGTGACCCCGGGATGCTCAGCACCACCGAAGTCCTGAACTCTTTTGCCTCGGGGATTCTCCCCTGCCCTCGCCTCCATTCCTCAGCCCCACACTGGGGGTCTCCTCAGCCACACATTAGGGGAATCCCCTCAGCCTCACGCTAGGGAAGTCCCTCAGCCCCACAGGGGGGTCCTTCAGCCCCACACGGAGGTCCCTCAGCCTCACGCAGGAGGGTCCCCTCAGCCTCATACTGGGGAGTCCCTCAGCCCTACCGGGGGGTCCCTCAGCCCCACAGGGGGGTCCCTCAGCCCCACACGGAGGTCCCTCAGCCTCACGCAGGAGGGTCCCCTCAGCCTCACACTAGGGACTCGCTCAGCCCCACACGCGGGGGTCCCTCAGCCCCACAGGGGGGTCCCTCAGCCTCACACTAGGGACTCGCTCAGCCCCACACGCGGGGGTCCCTCAGCCCCGCGCCCTGCCCCGCTCCCCTCAGCCCGGCACTCACTACTTGTAGAGCTGTTGCAGGCAGAGGTCCAGGCACTCGCCCTCCACCTCCTCCTCCGTGATGTACTCCGAGAGCGGCCGGGGCAGCGAGGGCAGCGGCGGGGGCGGCGGCGGCGGGGCGGGCGGCTGAGGGTCGCCGGCATCGCCCTCGCCGCCTTCTCCCTCCTCCGCCTCGGCGGCCGCTCCCGCTTCTCCCTCTGCCCCGGGTTCCTCGTCAGCGTCGCCCGCGGCTTCGGCAGCGGGACGGGGGGCAGCCGGCTCCGGCTCCGGCTCGGGCTCCGGCTCGGGCTCCGGCTCTGCCCCGAAGGGCCCGCGGAACTCGCCCAGGAACAGCTCGAGGAAGCGGCGGTAGGTCTTCTCCTCCGCGCTGCCGCCGCCGCCGCTGCCCGAGCCGCCCGCGGCCATCGCTTCGCATTCCCGGCCGCCCGCCGGCGGATCTCAGCTGCGCCCGCAGAGAGCTCCCTGCCCGCCGCCGCCGCCGCCGCCTCCTCCTCCTCCTCCTCCCTCCCTCCCGCCGCCTGCGCGCGCGCTCCCGAGCCGGGCCCGCGG